GTTATGCCTCAGATGCTGTGATGGATGCTGAGATATAAGATAAATTCAATGTAGTCTTGTCTTTAGAGAGTTCTGAACCTGGTGAGGGAGAAAAGCAAGTGGAGTGGCCCTTATGGAGAAGTGCAGTGAGTAAGGTTCCCAGGGTTTGTAGGAACAAAGAGGAGAGGCATCTATATTAAGCTGGAGTCAAGGCGGGCTTCCCAGAAGAGGAGACCATGGAGTCGATTTTCAGAGAGACGTTTGAGGTAACTGGATGAGAAAGGGGAGAAGTCACCCTACTTGGAGGAATGGCAGGGGTAGAGGGAAATTGCAATTACAGGCTGGGTGGACAGCGGTGCTGCAAAGTGAGATGTGATTCCGGGGATTAAACACAGAGGAAGGCAAAGGAGTAGGAAGACAGGTGATGAAGGGCCTTGTTGGTTAAAGCAAGAACTTGAAACTTTACCCTGAAATCTATGGGCAGCCATGATCATTGGAAAATGGAATCTTAGCGATTGCAAGGCACTTTTAATTCAATGATTAGTGGTTTTAATCTTGGTCAAAGAGGGGTTTTAATGCTGGTCCTTTGGCTCTGAGAGGCAGTCATCAACAATTCTTCTCACGGCAGACGAGCAGAGAATTCTTCCTCTTTGGTGTGTCACGGAACTAGAACGGCCCTGTTGTCTATCCTCAATATTTTGTAGAGAAGAAAAGGCTCAGAATGACTGGCTCGATGAAGGACGTCCAGCTGCCAAGAAGCAGAACCAGGATTCCAACCTCATAAGGAAACACTGTAATATGATGAAAAGAAGAGAAATATGAGTCAGGAGATATGAGTTCACATTTCAACTTTGAAACAAGTTTGTGACCTTAAGAAAGTCATGCAACCTTTCCTGGCTTCAGTGCCCCCATTATAAAATAGAGTCACTAACGACTGCCTTAGAATACAGATTTAATGTTGAAATAATGCGAAACAGCTCAGCTTACAGTGGCTGCTTAGTCAGTATTTGTTGATTCTGAAACTCACGTGCTCTGATTTCTCCTTTGGAGTTGGTTCCTGCAGCCTTCTGGAGGGCGGTGCCTATACCATGACCTTGTCTTGGCTCTTCCATTTAGTCCACAGTATTCCTGTGCCTCTGGCCTCACGTTCCCTTCATGTCTAAACGGATCCTTTGAGCTGGGGGAACTCGGGTCTGCAGAGAGTTTCTGAGGAGTCGCAGTGAGGCAGACGAGTTACTGGAATTAGAGAAAGCAGCAAAAACACGTGGCTCTCATTGAAACCTCTGGAGGAGAACATTCCAAAGTTCAACACAGCCAGGATCTGCCAGTGCAGCTGTGGATGGGGCCTGAGGTCATGAGGAACTAGACACTGCTCATTCAACATGAAAGCGCCACGAGAACGTGCTTTAAGGGGGAGGAGGGGAGAGTGGCTATGACTTAAATACGGACATGGAGGCAGAGGTGTACTTTTGAAATCAGTTTTCCTTAAAATCAACCCATCCAAGCTGTCATAAAGCTAACCAAGGATCACAGCTCTAGCAATCAAATCTTTTGCCTTCACAGTTGAGTGAAATCTTCCCTTTATAACCAAAACTGAGAGGGCAGTTTAATTTCCCAGTTAGAGGCAGGAGTCTTCTCTTGATGCCTTGCTCTTCATCTCCGCTGAATAGTTCACCCTATTTTAATGTTATGCTTTATTATTCCTATTATTATTTTTTAAATTTATTCCCAAAGGAAGAAGAATATAATGAGACTGTATCAGGCTTTTTATTTGAATTACTAATCAGATTTAAAGAAGACACACCAGTGTGCTGTAGGGTTTCTGGGCTAGAATGATCTGTTCCTCCCATGGTTATGGAAGTAGGTGTTTAACAGAGAATGAGTTCTGCTGGCTTCAGAGCGAAGGCTCCGAGAGGGAAGTGGAGGGCTCAGAGAAGGAGGTGGAGGGTCCTATTTAGTGGCAGCAGGAGGAATACCAGGCCCATGTTAAGGACATTCCCTTTTGAAAAACTGAATTATTATCCTAATAGCCGCAGAATATTAATTCTTCGATCTCATCACTGGAAGAAGTGAAGTTGTTGTGGAAGAGCTCTGCCTCAGAGAGGGTACCTGCATCTCAGCCAAGACAGGTTGATTTGGGTAACAAATTACACGTGGCATATTATATTTCACAAAGTGCACAGTACTACATTCATGAGACCAAATCAGATTCAGCCACATGCTAGGATCCCACCCATAATGGTCAAAAAACTGGCAAGAGAATGCAGGGTTCCCTATCTTATGTTGTGTAAGTATTTAAGAAGTTCCAAAATGAAGGTGAACTGAGCTTTCTGAATAAATACCTTATCTTCAGGACTTGAAAGAATCAAAGAAAGTGGTTAATAGGGCCTTCATGTTAAAACTAAAGAACTGGAGGCTAAAGATGGTATGATTTGCTGAAAGTCACAGAGGTTGTTAGGGCTAGTGACAGACTGAGAGACCTGGTCCTCAAATTGCAGTGCCAGCCTCTTTCTCACATTGCATTCTGGAGGAATTCCTTAACTATTCTGCCTTACTAAGGTCGTAACTTTGAGGGGTAGAGTAGAGAAGGAATCTAATATTTGTTGAACAGTTTGTAGATACTTAGAATGGAGTTTGAGGGTTTTAAATTTAGTATCTAATTTAATCCACAATAATCCTGTGAAATCATTATTACGCTCACTCTACAGATGTGGAAACCGAGGCTCAGAGAAATTAACCTGGTCCAGGTACCAAAGCCAATCCATTGACACTGCAGTCAGCTCCGAGGTCAACCAGGTCCCAAATTGTCACAAACCACTACCTAACACTCGGGTGGTATGAATTTATGAAATCACATGTTCTCAGAGTCGAAATTGAAATTAGAAGTAACCAACTTCTATTTTAAATTCAATGAATATTTTTCCCTACAGAATTCCAGACAGATTTTTGCTAGTTTCTGCTTTAGTATCTCCAATCATGAAGAACTGACTCCCTCACAAAATATTTAACCCCTGTAGATATATGGTAACAAATATTGCCACATTTGATTTCTTAGTTTATCCTTTTAAATCATATCCCCTGGATCATCCTCTGATATTTCACTCTTCATAATATACTCAATCATTCACTTAGTAATTCGAAGTAGTTATTGAGTATCTATTACATGCCAGATATTATGCCCTATTCTGAGAGAACAATGATGAATAAAGCAATTATCACCCTATCTTCATGGATTTTGCATTGTTTAAGCAAGGATTTGGATATAATTCATATTTGAGTAACTGGAAGAGGAGGTCATCAATAACAGAGCACATAGAATTTTTAAAAAGATAACCCAGGCTCTAAAATTTGGCTGCTCAACCCTATAATAAAATGTTTATGTAGAAGGCAGCTGACATGCCTTTGAGGATGACTAGGAAAATGATATATGGGGAGAATTTTTTCTCTGGGAAAGCAATGAAAAAGTTTGCTTAGGGCATCTAAATGGGTCCACAGAGATCTGGCTGAGTTATGGTGAGTGAAACAAAAAAATCCCCAGCAAACAAGGCTGGATGTTTGGCCGCAGGCAAACCATGCTACATACTGGACTTTCCATTGTGAAAATATTGACTCCAAAACTTGGTGTGAACAGGGCCATGGTCTGATCCTGAAGTTGCAGGTGCTTAGAGTGACGCTCAGAGGACTCAGGAAGAAAGCTCAATTGATCCCAACAAATAGGATGCTGGCCTGGGGAAGGCTTGAAGGGGGCTGCGGGGGAAACACCTTCACATGGCACGACTGACAATCACTAAGCACCTACTATGTGCCAGGACTCCAGGACCCTATGTAGTTACCTCAGGAAATCCTCCAACAGTCCTCTGAGGGAAGAGTTACCATCCCTCTATTATAGATGAAGTAGACTAAGTGTCCTGTCCAAGGTTATAACTAGTAAGCCGAGAAGCTGGAACCCCAGTGTGTATCTGACTCCCAATTCTATGCATTTTGCATTACATCATGCTGTTCTCTTCACGTTTCTGTGAAGGCAACTGGCAGACTCCCTGAAACTCTGAGTTGAGATTCAATGAGAGGCAGGTTGAAGCCAGAGAAATTGAAGTTTCAGGGCCCTTCCTTTGCATGAGGACCATTCAAGGTCTTGGGAGGAGCCCTAGCAATAAGGTCTTAGAGTTTTGTAAACTCTGCAACACTGATATATTTGTATATTCTTTTTCTTAAAGAGAACCTCCAAAATTGCAAAAGCCTTTGGTTCCATAAAACTTGTTCTAAGCCTTAATTAGAGAACAGTAATTCATTCAACAAATATTTCTTGAATGCCTAATGTATGCTAGGCGTTGTGCTTGGTGCTTGGGATACGGCAATGAACAACCCAAAATGGAGATCTTTGTCCTCATGGAACTAATGGCCTAGAGACCAGGTGCATTGGCAGGGTCCTGGCAGGAAAGGCATGCCGCATTTAAACTGGATAATCTGAACAAAGTTTAATAAAGAGACTATTTGCCAAAGTGTGGTTGGGTACAGGTACACCACAAAGAACAGTGCAACGTTCTCTGGTTAGTATCAGGAAAGCAGTAGCTTGATGGGCAAGGGAGGGTGTGGTTACTAACCTGGAGACTGAGATAGCTGGGTGAAGAGAACTACTGGGTAGGGAATGAGACCTTCGATTGATAGCAACTAAACAGTCGTAAAGGGAGGGAGCAGGGCAGTAAACACTCATCCTCACTTTGCTCTTGCCCTCTGACATCCTGCTGGTGTTCCCCATTGACCCAACCCGATTGGACGTTAGAGAGTAGGTTAGCGCATTCATATATTTACTAGATCAGCCTCCTGGATCACACGGTGCAGAAGGGTGGAGAGTAGATCTGGAGGAGAAACATAACACTCAACACAACATATGTGTTCAGCTCAACCTTTAGAACTCCAGTGAGGATGTGGTCTGGGGAGAAGGGTTACATCAACTAGAATGCCAGTTCTCTGTGTTGATATTGCTCTTGAGAATAATAAAATAATAATAATAACAACAGCAAGAGAAAACGTTTATTGAAAGCATACTGTTGTAGACGTGAGCTAAGAATTTACAGCATCTGATATCACATAAGCTCTTGCCTTCAAAAATATTCCAAAGGCTCTAGAAGTTGGTCTTTTGCTAACTTTGAAGCATTTTTCACCAATATAGGAAGTTAAAGTTCCTGAGGGATCCTTTCATATTTCTTTGTGTTTTACATATTACAGCCTGTAAGAAAAAAAGAAAAACCATTGGGTAACTGTGCGTATGAAGAGTTCACATTAAATCAACCATAGTAAGGGTAATAAAAGATGGAGAAGCACTAACCGCTGAATTCAAATGGATACTCATTTGCAAATGCCTTAGAAATCCCCTGATTCTCTCTCAGAGGGGCACTTGCTAAAGGTCCATTGGACATAGGAGGCAGAGTGTGAAAGACACAAGGTATTGAATGGTTCCTATATCCTTCTTAAAATATTCCTAAGCAGAAAGGCTATTCCCAAAGAGAACCGATAGGGACTGACCTGCTTTTGAGAAAGAATTAATTTGTCCACCTGAGAGACTTGTTTCAAATCATTCAGGCCACTGAGATGGGATATGCAAATGAGTTCCCCAAAGGGACCAAAGTAAACTTTGAAAAGTTCACAAATTTCTACAGAGTTAACAATTCCTTTCTCCATGCCCATAACATCAGACATACATTAACCATACTTAACATCCAGAAGGTCTATTTTGGAGTAAATGAGGTGCCTGAAAGTATCAGAGAACTCCAGACCTCAAATTGCGCTTTGAATTAAGGAAGCTTTAAGCTGTAAATTGAGCTTACACATTATTCATTGAATGCTTTCATTTGGCAGACAAGAAAATTGTGACCTAGAAAAGGAAAATAACTTTTCAAGGTCACAGCATGAGTTAGTGGCAGAGCCGAGATCAGCAGCCTTTGGGTCCTGTCTCCAGCCCAGTGATCCTTACAGTTCCATCAGCCTGACTCCCAGAGACACAGACGGAGACCAGCAGTCCAAGGGTCCCTGGAGGTTACTTAGCCCATGGGAGAAGGAATATTGATCCCTTGTCTGATAATATGGAGGGAAAAAAAATCCAGTGTTAAGGACTTCAATTGGAAAAAAGTGAAGAAGAAAGGAAAGCTCCTAAAATAGTCTCATCTGTCTACACTAGAAAAGGAGGGTTTAACCATGCAACCTTTTTTAACATGACCAGGTGCTTTGCTTGATGGAATGTGGGCAGAACAATATTCACTTCTAGGCTATCTATCATATGGGCAAGTGACCTTGCTTCAAAGAGATGCTAAGAAGTTTAACAGCAGATCATACCTTACAACACTAGACTAAACAAGAAATGAATAAATGGAATCTAGGTTCTGATAATTTCTGGACAACTTCGCTCTTCAAGAGCCATTCAACTACACCATTGTATACCATTCAACTAACCTGCACAATTGATGCTTTGCTCCTTTTCCTGAGCAGGCATGGAAAACTTGAGAACTTTCTGCGTTCAGACTCCAGCTTTACCAAGACTCCACCATGTGAATTCAGCTTTGTAAAAAATAAGAAAATTTAGCTGTGCCCCTTTTAGCCACTATCTTTCCATTGAACTGGTTCCAGTCCCACTGAGCTGGCCTGAGCTGTGATCCAGTCACCCCTTGCTTTCGAAGGAACACTGACCTCACTAGCTGTTATCTGCCTAGCATCAATTGCCAACCGAGGCACAGATATTATGGACTTTTTGTCTGACATCACCAGGGATGAGAGGCACTTAATTGCTTTCATTGATGGCTAACATCTTGTTTATCTTCATATCTTTGTTGTTTTTATTGGCCAGGCAGTCATTTTCTATTCCTATGGAGTTCTCTAAGAACCTCCCTGACCACTTATTCTTCCAATAATCAATGCTCCCAATGTATTTTCAATTGGTTGGTGCTGACAAAGTCAACTTATATTAATGCTGAATCTTGAAACAGATTAAATGGGACAAGAATACTTCTGCCGGAATGGAGAATTGGTGAACTCCCTTCTACTGCAGGTTGTTATTCTCAACATTAGTTACATATGGAAATACTGTGGGGTAACTAGGAAGTTTCTCAAGAATCCTGTATGGCAGTTCCACATTTTGATGGAGAAAACTAATGTCTTTCTTAGTACTCTTTTGCTATTTTGAGTCCATGCCAGTTGTCTGTTCAGTTCCAGTTCTGTCCCATGACATGGAGAATCATTTATGGGTCCATGCTCTGGACTGCAGGCCACAATGAGTATCAAAGTTTAGGCTTATTTTTCTATGGCTATTAGTCATGAATTGAAGCATATTAAATAAGCTAAAGACAGGGAAAAAGTTGTTATCAACAGGGAAATCTGGCCCATAGTAGGTAAATGAATCTAATGTGAGTGACTTGTCAAGCCTACAAAAAGGTAATCTGGTGTTTGTCTTTTTACACATTTAGAGTGAAAACAAGTATCCCCTGGAAATCTATGAATATTGGCATGATACACCATCATGGATCCTTTGAAATTTCCCAAGTTACCTCAGATGAGGAAAATTCAGCTATGCCCGACCCATGTATTAAACTCGAATTCTGAAGGCTCATCTTTTAGCTACAGATTTACACAATTTTCAATATTTATATTCACTGCACTGAGGAAGAGCTGTGAGAAAGACTGGGGAGGCCTACTCAAATATCATTTAATAAATGTAGTTTGTACTTGATGTAGAATCAAGACTTCCAATGGGTGAACCAAGAGCAATGAGAAATGACAGATGGAAAAGTATACCAGGCCTCTTTGGATTGGCTGACTAATTGACCTATTGTATCATCAATAAGTACTAACTGAGTGCTTACCCAGTTTGATAAACTATATCCAGCGGTGACTAAAACATGTGGCTCATGCTCTTACAGAATACACAATCCAGTGGCCTTTAGATAGTACTTGTAGCAAAAGTATGAAGTACATTCCATGAGGGAACGATATGCCTTGTTGACCATACTTTTAGGTAAAAAAAAAATAATCTTAGTATGGGCCAGAGGTCACCCAAGGGTGGGTACTTCCTACGTTGTCCCTTTGCCTCTGCTTCAAAGCAAGTGCTTGCTTTTTGGTTTGTTTGTTTGTTTTAAAGGTAAAAAAATACACATCAACTATTTAAATAAGTAACATTTTAATTTTGTACATTGATTTTGATGTGATTGCATTTTCATTGCAGTAGAAGAAATTTATTTTTAGGGTAGAATTATATAAAATATATTGTGATTTTTGTTTCTTGATTTTTAAAATAATTGTGGGTATCTAAACATATTTTCATGTCTGTCAGAAGAAAATTCCCAAGAACTCTATGAATTTCTGGTCCCGTTGGTTCTTTCTTCCTCAATCCTCTCCACATAGTATTACTTACCTACAATACTTTATTTAAGAGTCAGCTTGATATGTCTATTTCATTTCATGAAATTTTATTGTTTCATATTGCTTCCAAACATTTGGTCACTTTCAAGATTAGATACTTTTGCAAACAGGATGTTGTGGCTTGTATTTGCTGTAGAAGTTGATCTACTGCAATGGGCAAACCGAGAGCAATGACAAATGAGAAATAGAAGGGAGCCAGTCAGATAATTCCACCTCATTTATCTTTTTGGGGATTTCTCTGAGGTGAAAAATTTCTTTGTAAACCTTCCAAAGTCCTGCAGGTCAAGCAAACACATCTGACGACAGCCGCTGTAAGTCTTCCCTACTTACTGAGAAAAAGTGGCCAGTGGGATAAAATACACTTTATTACCTCTGTATTTCCTTGCCTCATTTCCCCTTTTCTTTTCCACCTTCACATCTCTAGGCTTGCTTCTTTGAAGTAAAGTATCATCACTTCAATCCTTGCCTCAGGCTCTGCTTCATAGAAACTTGGCTAAAATCAGAAGTGATTCTAGAAACAAGACTTTAAATTTGTGTTGCCATTTGGGCAATAAGTGGAAAGAACCATTGCTGGTGGTGAGAAGCTGTGCGATGCAGCTGCTTGTGCTTTCACCCGTGGATGAGTCGGGTGGTGCAGTTGGAGAGCAAGGCACTGGGAGACCAGGGTATTGTAGCCCTTAGTTGGTTTGGGAAGAAGGTCTTTTTATAAAGGTTGTAAAGTGGGGTGGCTGCTTTAGATAGTCAAAGAAAATGAAAGACAAAGGAGACTCAATTTCCACTTAAGGAAGAATATAAAACCAGAAGGTTTCTGGTTTAAAGGTCAGTCTTCTCTCCTGCAGTCTCAGGCCACAGCTGTGATGAAAATCAGCCCAGCAACTGATTCTACAGGGGACTCGGCTGCAAAGGTGACCCATCCAGTCTCAGTGGGTCTCCTATGCCAGGGACAGGGCCTTGATAGAAAATGAGTACAACTTGGAGTGGTAATGTTTGAGTTTCAGACCTGAGAATCTTGAATCCCCAAATTCTCTTGGACTTTTCTGACCAGTAAAAGCAGCACCTTCGTCTTTCCAGAGAACAGCCTCCCCTTCCCTGGGGATGTGTAATTTTTTCACCTGGAGCAGGTGCCTCAGAAAGCGACTCTATCTCAAGACTCTCTCCTGCCACCTCTCATTGCCTCTTGGCTGATAGAGTTAGGCCTCAGCACAGCCCTGATAGAATAGTACAAGCCTAGCTCCAAAAAGAAAAATCCTTAAGCCAAAGCACTTCCAGAATTTGTCTAGCAGTATCAGGAAGAACGAGGGTGAGGGGTAGTGGTTGGAATGTGCAATTCTAAGTTTCATGGTTAATGCCACCAGAGAGCACCCAATGCAGGAGGACAGAAAGACTTGTGCAAAGGATGTCAGCCATGTTCTTTCCTCAGCATCCCATAGCTTCTGCAACTTATGGATAGGCCATGGTAGCAGATATGCAGGTTATACACGGGCTCAACAACATAAGCTCCCCTCACTGAGGCTGGTCTAATCATTGTTACCACCAAGTGCAAATCTGCCAGCAGCAAAGACTAAGGAAGAATTCATTAAGGAGACCGGGCAGCCACCTGGTAACAAATCACATCAAAATCCTTCCACTTGTAGAAAGAGGTTGTTTATTTTTACTGGAATTGACACACACTCCACATATTGGTTTGACCTCCCTTCCTATAGAGCCTTTCCCATCAGCACCACCTAGAAGCTTATAAAAAGTCTTATCCATTGGCGTGGGTCCAACACAACATTACCTCTGATCAAGGGACTCATTTTGTAGCAAAGAAAGTGTAACAGTGGGCTCATGATTACGGGTTTGTGGTCTTATATGTGCGCCATCACATAGAAACAGCCAGCCTGATAAAAGGGTGGAACAGCCTGTTAAGACTCAGCTAAGGTGCTGGCAATGGGACAATGCATGCAGGGTAGGATTCTGTCCTTCAAGATGTAGCATGTACCTTGAACTGCTGGTATTTTGTGCTGTTTGACCCAAATACATGGCTCCAGATAATAATGGGTATAATAATAAGCTCTCATGCCCAGTGATCTGTTTGTGGATCTGTGCTTCCATTCCCTTAATCTCAGGCTCTGCCAGGGTACAGAGCCCAGTTCTGTGGCAGGGGAAAGCTCTTTCCCAGGGGATAAAGTACTAAAGGGGTGAGGTAACTACCACAGAGTCACTTTGGACTCCTCATGTGTCAGTAGACCATTAGGCTAAGAAGGACATTATGGTACTGGCTGCAGTAATTTGTCCTGTCAGTCACTATAAGGAGGGAGGGCAACTACCACACTGAGGGAGCAGGTCTGGAATACAGAGGAGTCAGTGGGGTGTCTCTTCGTACTTCATGCCTGGCAATGACTAAGGGCAACTACAGCAAACATGCTTCAACAAGGGCAGAGCGACTAAGTACTCAGATCCATTAGGGGTTAAAGGCTGGGTCACCTCACTAGGCAAACAACTGGGACGAGGTAAGATGCTAGACAAGGGTGAGGGGAAGCTAGCATGCCGAGTTGATGAAGGATTGATGAATATCAATTTCGCCCTTGGGACAAACTGTAGCAGTAGGACTCTAGCTTGTTTTACAACCTCTCTTACTTTAGTCTTCCAGGATATCACAACTGGCCACCATATTGAATGTGAATTACTGGACTTGTATCTGTCTTCTCAGAGAAGGAGTGAGAAGACTTTCATTAAAAAAAAACAAATCACGGAGATATACTGTAGTTTTGCAGCTTCTTATAAAAGGATGTAACACATGGATCTGAGTGGTGCAAGAGGGTGTCAGCACCCAAACTGAACCTTCCTTCGGAGCTCAATGTTTCCTCGATGGATTTACCAGTCCCTGTTTGAACTTTGGCAATCCATCCTTGTGGTTTGCTGCTTTTACTGGGTCCTTGTGGACCCGTCGCAGGTGCTCCCAGTGCACTCACACCGCGACTGGCTGCCGGCAGACACAGACCTAAGTGTCTCTGGTTAGCGCACACTATCCATCAGCATCCTAGTTCAACCCCCTAACTCAAAATACACAACCTCGGTCTTAGAGGAGACTTAGAAATAAAACAGTACAACGGGAAAAGTAACACAGAACACTGACTTGGCTGGTGGTGCCTCACCAGACATTTTATTAAGCAATTATTATGTGCCAGACATTGAATTATATAAAAATACACAATACGGCATAGTTTCCACACTGAAGAAGGCAATAGTCTTGCAAGAGTCATAAGAAAAATAATAGCCTATAAGCTAAAAAGATTCACAGTCTCTTACAGAGTTGAGAACTAAGTAACTTTTGAATTTCTCAGTCTCAGGAAAGCCTAAGGAGGAGAGCTATTAAGAAAACCAGGAGCTGTAATTTTCACTTAATTGTTGGAGGTTTGAGAGATGACACAGAAATCCTAGGGTAGACAGAAAGTTCCTACTGTTCCGTTAGGACACCTTGGAGTGTTACCCAACCCTTCTGTTCTTTCGGGTGAGAACGCCTACTTTCTGCATGCTCCTCCAAGGACACTGAAATCTGAGGCAGCTGTGCCGTCTCAGCAAGCTGTGTGACTTGGTGAGTGGGGAAAGCGGGGCCCAGAGGCTCTCTGGACAGCAGTGACCTTTCTTTGAGCTGAGGAGACCTTCAGGTCCTCGGTTTGGAATCCTCATTAGCACCAATTGCTGGTAGCCATTTCAGACTGTTTTTCAGGTTTCATTGTGTGGGTACCAGCGTGGAGCTTTCATCCCTGCAGCTCACAGCTTACATGAAACTCCCCAAGAAGACAAAAAATATGGAAGGAAGTGTGGTACTAAGCATATCTTTCATTAAGTTAAGAAAAATAATTTTGCCTATTGTTTCTTGATATATTTTTCTAGTTTCTAGTTAGGCTTATGAATGTGTTTAAACGTTTACTTTTATTTCTCCTCCAACTCCTTTTTCATCATCATATACATTAGGTAATTAATTGCTGTTGGTTCTGTCCCTGCCTGGCCCAGCCAACTCCTAGAGAGAATGAGGAATCTCATGGAACCGAAAGAGACTGAAATAAAAAGGATGGAAATCTGCTCCTAGCTGTTTTAGGAAGCTTGTGCGTTATAGGAAAGCTACCAGGATATTGGTGCCTGCTTTGGGGTCGCGTGGCTGCTAGAGGAACACTCACCGTGTTCCAGGTTTACAGCATCGTAGCCGGCACGTTCTGAGAGTGAACCCAATGGTCCTCCTCTTTATACACTAGCCTCCCCTTTGAATGTGGGTAGAACCTGTGGACACGACGAGATGTCACTCCCACGATTATGTTCTATTACTTTGTGGCTAAAGGAGTTTATCTAGCTGAGTCTAATATAATCGTATTGGCCCTGTAAAAGCAGAGTGTTTTCTCTGGCTGGTATCAGAAGAAGTCAGAGGGATTAGAAGCATGAGGAAGATTCAATGTGCTGCTACTGGCTTGACGGGCCATGTGATGAGACTTGTGAGTGGTTTCTAGAAGCTAAGCACAGCTCCAGCTGACAGCCAGCAACGAAATGGGGACTTCAGCTACAACCCCAAGGAACTGAATTCCACTCGGCCAGGAATGAGCTTCATAGAAGTCCCTGAGCTCCAGGTGAGAACACCTCCAGCTGATACCTTAATTTCTGCCTGAGCAGAAAATAGCCACACAGTACCAAACGTCTGCCCCACAGAGCATGAGATAATGAGCGGTATTTTGTTACATTGCTAAAAATGCGTGTTTTTCAGCAATAGGAAACTAATGCAACATCTAAGGGTAGAAATAGTTTGAACTGCAGATTTACAGTCAAACATGTGTTTACCCTGAGCATTGTTTCTTATGTGCTAGGTGACTTTGGGTTTAATTACAGACATTTAGTTCCTCATCTGTAAAAGGGATAGAATAATACCCACCTGCCTCCTAGGATTGTTGCCACAATTAAATGAGACATAGCTGATAGAATGCTCAGCACACAATAAATGTTGTTTCACATTCCCCAGTAATATGGACTCTGGCAATCCATTCAGAACAGAAATAGTCTATGATGGTTACTATGACTTGAAGGAATTGAAACCATACACATCTCTGGAAGAGGAGGAGGATGGAGCTCAGGAAAGGAACATTTGGGAACTGGTTAGGGAGCACAGCAGGCTCCCATAGTTTGGAACCAGAGTAGAAACCAAGAATTCTAGGATCACTGCTAAGACTTAGTGACTCAAAGCCAGAGCCATGGGGTCCCACAGATCCCCGTCTAGATGTGACTGGGGAATCTATAGACTCCCAGAGGTGCCAACCTGCACTCCTAGGAACAGTCTTCTTATTTATTTATTTGTTCTATTCACCAAATATTAACTGAGCATTTCTGTGCAGGGTAATCGTTCAAGAGACTGGATTACAGCAGTGAACAAAACATGAAAATTTTTGCCCTCCTAGAGTTACATTTTAGTGAGGAGCCAGTGGAGAAGGTATTTTGTCAGATGATGGTAAGTGCTAAGGAGAAAAATATGTCCAAAAAGAGGGATAAGAAATGTAAGAAAAGACACCCCAACCACCACAATTTTCAATAGGGCAGTTAATGTATGTCTCACAATGAAGGGTCCATGAGGCAAAGACCCGGAGTAGCCAGATGGGGAAAGAACGCTCTTAAGAAGAGGGCCTGGCTTAAAGGCTCCACGTGAGCTGGCTCCTGCTGAGCAAATCAGCAGCATCAGGACAGTCCCCCCCCCCCCCCCCCCCCCCCCCCAGTGCCCAGACAAACTTTACCAATCCACTGAAGCAGGCATTCAAGCTACACTTTATTTGACCCTCAGAGTTTGAATAGAGCCCAGCAAGGGATCAAGTCTGATAACATCTCAAAAGCCCATTTAGCTCAATATCTCCACTACCAGGCTATTTGTTAAACACTTACTAGGCGGCAGGCTGTAACTCCTCAGACAGACAGGGTCTCCTGTCCTTAAGGAGCTGATGTTCAAGGAGTAGAGGACACAAATGCTTTTAAAAAATCAACAACCTCATCACAAATTGTGATGGAGGAAAGAAACGAAGAAGAACCCAAGGCAGAGACTGGCAGGCGAGGAACCGCCTTCCATCGGATGGAGGAAGAGGGGCTCTGAGAAGATGAAACTGAGCCCAGTCCAGCAGTGGGGGGTGCAAAGAAGTGGGTCCCTGGGGCACTTAGCAAAAGTGCAGGCTCTTTACAACTTTCCTCAAGACCTGACAAATAGAGGCGGGCAGATCTACAGCGACCTCGGAGCAGCACTATGCACAGGAGCCTAAAGGTGGAAGCAACCCAGCCCTTCATCAGCTGGAGCATGTCCACACGATGGAACAGCATTCAGCCACATAAAGGAAGGAAGTACTGATTCAAGCTACAATGTGGGTGGAGATTGAACACACGAGGCCAAGTAAGGAAGATGCCAGCCTTGAAAGACCCTACGTCGTGTGGTCCCATTTGTATGAAACTAGATGGTGGTGACAGTGGCAAAACATTGTGAATGTATTTAATGCCACTGAACTGTACACTTCAAAATGGTTAAAATGGTAAATTTTATGTTATGTATGTTTTACCACAGTAAAAATTATATTAAAGAAATGATCTCAAAGGCAGGCTTCTCCAGGGGAATTAAAACCTTTACTATTATGTAGTAACCTTTTCTATTTTAAAAAATGCTTTTGGCCTTCACATCACTTTTATTTAATTTTGTCATAACTGACATAAATGTTTTTGCATAGTATTTGCCTGAGAAATCTCATTCTTCCCATTTTGTCCCAGTCTTTCAGAGTCCTGGTGCTTTACTTATATCACTTACAAGTACCAAGTATTAGTATTTAAAAAAATCCAATCTGAAAAATTTTACTTTTATTTAGAGATTTTAATCCAGTCATATTTTTGTGGTTATTGATATATTTGGATTTACTTTTAGCATCTTTTTTGTGATTTTTATTAATTTTACTTTTTCTATGTATTTGCCTTCTTTTGGATGGAATTTTTTTATCTCATACTATTTTTCTCCTTCTACTGATTTTGAAGTGATATTCTGTTTCTATTATTTTTATAGTGCATCTTGAAATTTAAGTATTTACACTTAAAGTCTAAATGATAATATCTTCACCCACCCTTTGAATAATATAAGCATCATAAAATATTCTAATTCTACTAGTTTATCCACCAGCTTACATGTGTCTTTTACAATATTTTAGCTTCAACTAGTTTCATTTTAAACCTACAAGTTGAAAATTATTTATGTTTTATAGAGTTAATGTTTGTTTTTATTTTCCACATCCTAACCATGTTCTTTGCTCAATATTTCTTCTTGTATTTCCAACTTTCCTTGTGGGACTAATCTTTCTTCCTGAAATACATCTTTTACAGGCCCCTTTATTGAGGGTCTGTTGGTGGTAAACTTACTTAGTTTTGTTGACCTAAAAATCTATTTTTTCCCATGATCTTGAAGAATAGTTTCTCTGGGAATACAACTGTAAGTTTCCAGTTATTTTCTCATGGTATTCTACATATATTTTTTCCCATCGTTTTAGTTTCTGTTATGGTTTCTGAGAAGCTAAGTGTCAGTCTAATTATTGCTCCCTTGTAGATGAGTTAACTCTTCCTTTCATTGTTTTTAAGATTGGTCTTTATCTTTGGGTTCTTTTGTGTTACTGTGATATGTCCGGGTGTGGATTTGTTCTATTTATCCAGCGTGGGATTCCTTGGACTGGTCTCATCAAGGTTGAAAAATTCTTAGCTATGTCTCTTCAAATACCCTTTCTTCTCCACTTTTTAAATCATCTTTTGACAGAACTATAATTAGAAATATATTGACCTCCCTCCTCATTTTAATGTCCAGGTCTCACAAACTCCATCTTTTATGTTGCCCATGTCTTAGTTTGTACTCCATTGTGGGCTGTTTCATTAGATGCTTCTCCAATTCCTTCAGTCACTCTTCAGCCATCTTATCTGACACTTGAAGTATTAAGTTTTTAATTTCAGTTATTATATATTCAACATTTAGAACTTATCTTTGATTCTTTTTCCAGTCTCTTGGTTCGTTTCTGCTGGGTGCCTGGCCCTTACTTGAAGTGCCTCTTCCACGCCCATCTCGTGTGTGAGCTCTTTGAGAGTATCTGCTGACTCTCACTCGTGGTGGCTGTGCTTTGTGCTGTGCATGATTTGTGCATTTTTGTTGTGAAATTGTTTGTTGGGCCTTTAAATTTGGGACTTCCATGAGATCTGGATTAAAAGTGTGTTTTTCAAGAGAGGATTTGCATTTGTTTATTTTAGGTGCTGGAAAATGTTCTTAACCAGAAACAGCTTTAAATTAAATTCTTAGGTTGTGGTTTTAGGAATGATGTTACTGTTGATACTGGCATCACTTCACATAGGAGACATTTTTCTCCTTCCATTCTTATCCAAATTAAAAGAGTTAACTTTCCATGTGGGACATTTTTCTTTTTTTCCCATTTTTTAGTTCACATTTCAATTAATGATAGAGTGATTTGAGGGTCTCAGCTATCTGAGGGGTCTCTGTTTGTACTTCCCACCTTGCACTTGCTCTGCATCTCATAATCTCACTCTGGGCGGGCAATAAGTTGTAATAAGATTTGGGTCCGCAAACAGACAAAGAGAAGTTGCCTTCTGAAGTGTTTGCTTGCCTGTGTGGATTCATGTGCTTTATTTATCATCATTAAGAATTTTACCTGTGGTCTTGTAAGCTCAGCTCTGCATTTGCAAATACCTTGTCTTAGTTTATTCCTTATTTCTGGGAGTTTTACAGTGAGAGGATTTATAGGGCTGCCAGTGCACCACATGCACAGAATAACATTCTGTTTCTTGAATCTACTTTTAAACCCATGTATTTCCCTAGAAAATAATCACTTTCATCCGGAATTTCAAAACTTATTGCAGTAGATTGCACAAATATTATTTGCAGTCATTTCCCCTGTAACATTAAGACATTTGTCTCCATTTCATTCCTAATTTTATATGTTTTATTTTCTCTCATTTATTTTTCTTAGAAAAACTGATGGCTGATTTATTTCATTTATTTCTTCAAGGGAACTCTCCTTGGATTTATTCAGCAATTAGACTGTTTAGTCTATTTTCTAAGTTTTCTTAAGTATATAATTAATATATTTTAATTTACTTAAATTCTGTGAATTTTTGTCTTAGCACCTCTCCGGCAAAGTAAATAGATTTGGATATTAGTCTTACATTCCGTAATTTTCCAGATGTTTCTAGGTATTTTCTAGATTTCCTCCTTTTTGACACACAAATTGAGAGACCACGTCCACCTCTCTAAACGAGTTTTTGTGTCTGCTTTGTTATTAGTTTTAAGTATTGTTACTCTTTTGCCAGAAAACGTAGAATGTGATAGTTTCATTTTCTGAGTTTCATGAGGTTTTTAATATTTTCTAACATGTGATCATTTTTAAAACTATTCCATGGCCGCTTGAAAAGAAAGTGTATTTTGTATTTAGAGATGATAAAGTTGGACTTAGCTCTGTTTTAATTTATATATCTATAGCTTTTTCTCTAGTTTTGCTTATATCTACGTATTACTTAAAATAGTTGTCGCGTTGTTTGAGTGCTCTGTGCCCACAGATTTTTTACCTATTTAACCTTCATTTTCATGAGTTTTGCTTCATATACTTTGGTTCTATTTATTTCAATACTTTGAAAGTCATTGGAGTTATAATCTTATTGTATGTTAAGTTTTTAGGAAGCCTCCCTGTGGAGGACATTTAATCAATTTTACCTTGACTCCGAGTCTGATAATAATAACAACAATATATTGCTTATTTTTTTTCTTAATCTAGCTTCCCCCCACCCTTTTTATCATCTTTTTTGGAAGACATTTTGTTTTAGGCATATGAGTTTTTATTTTGCTTTAATCTAAACATTTAAAATATAGTTCATTCTATTGTAATTACTAATTATTATTTTAACAAAATTGTTATAGTCTTACATCCTTATTTTACATTTTCTGTTATTTTTAAACATATGACCTTGCTTTTTGCTTTCCTTTAAAAAACTTTAGCTGTAGTTTGAGAATTTTGTCTTTGTTCTTCTCATCTAGAAATTTAAAAGGTATATAGTTTGCTTTTAACTACATTTCATAATTATGTTTATAATTTTATGTAACTTGCTCACATTTGTATTTCATAATATAGTATCTTCAACAACAGAATTCTGTCTATTGACTCTCTTGCGAAAAATGAGGACAATTATATAGTTTCACTTTCATCAACTTCTGCTCTTTTACTGTTACTTTTTGTTTTTGTTTCTATGACCTGGAAATTTTATGCCTTTATATTATAGTTAATTTATTGTTATTTTTATATTGATATATTTTTTAATTTTCCAGAGACAGTTTTGTAATTATAACTTCATTATTTATACTCAATTCTAGGCTGCATGGTTTAGTCTTCACTGCCATTTTCATATTAAACTTCCCCACTTTTGACTACTGAATTTCAATGTTTTTCTCTTTATATCTTTAAGTAGTTTCATATAAGTATATATCTTTTTTTAAGTATATATCTTTAAGTAGTTTTTTAAGGAAAGGTATATGAATAATATGTCTCCAAAAACTTCACTAATTAGAATGTTAAATTTTTTGTTGACTGTTATTAGAAAATCTACCAAATAAAGGTGCCTTAAATAAGACAGAAGTTTATTTCTTTTTTCTGTAAATCATAAAGGGTCTAGAATACAGCATAATAAGATGATCTAACATACTTTAGGAATTGCCTGAAACTGTGCTTTGCACGTGTAATCTCAGTGAATCTTCCCAGAAGCCCCTGAGGTGGACTTAGCACCCCCGTTCAAGAGTCAGACAGCTGCCCTCAAGGGTAGAATCATCGGCCTGAGGCTAGTAAGTGACCGAGGTCAGCATTGCCTGGCTCTCATGTCCTCTTCCTGAGACGGTGGAGGAGGTGAGAGTAAAGTGCTGTAGGGACAGATCTGAGAAGATTCCTCCTGGAAGGATCTTCAGGAAAGCATCAGGCAGCAGGTG